TAAAAGTATCATTGCTAATCTAGGTTTATAAACCTATTTTAAATTGAAAATAGCTACCATGCTGAGAAAGATTTCTGAAGAAAAAAATTCACCATAATGATATTTACAACAAGATTCAGAAATAAATAAATTAGGATAATTATTACATTAATCATAGTCTATTCATTTAATACACTTATATAGATATTTACACGATGTAAATGAAATTCATATTATAATGTGACAAAATTTTATTATTCTCATTTTTATGAGAATAAATTTTTTTATTCTCATGTTGAGAATAAAAAACAGAACTTAGTCAACTGCTCATTAAGAATGAAAAAAGCAGTAACATCTCTGTGTATTAAAGTGATTTTAGGGTTTCAATCTCTTCTTGTACTTCTTTTGTATTTTCCAACTTTTTAAAATTGATTTTATTTTTTTAAATACATGACAGCGGAATGCATTACAATTGTATTTTCCAACTTTTGAGCAACAAATATGCACTGTAATCTGAGTGCTAAGTCAATCATAGAAGACACTATTGCCTTGAAGAAATCGCAAAGTTTAGTAAAATGAAGTTTTTTTAAAAAACATTATTTGAAAAATAAAAACAGGGTCTTGAGAGTATACAAGTTGGAAAAATAGAGCCCCATTCATAAATATAAGTTGTCAAATATTAGCTAGACTTTATTACAGGACTCAGAGATATTTTGCAAATAGTTATTAGAAGAAAATGGACAATACACCGTGTAGCAGCCAAGTCAAAAAGGCAGCAAAAGCACGGGCTGAAAGAGTAAGATGCAGAAGTATGTAGCAAAAACTGCCAATTATGATATACCTGCTTATATGACATTGAAGAGATAAAAGGTAAGCTTTCATTATCTGTGTCAAACATGGGGTCATAAAATGACTTAGCAGACTTAGAAAAAAAGCAACTAATGACATCTTACAGTGTTATCTGGGCCATCAAGATGCATCCCATGCAAATCCTTCCCTATTACCAAGTCCACACTCCCACTGCATGTCATAGATCTCTGTTGTGTTTCCAATTATTCACTGTCTCTTAAGAGAATTAGATTTCTCACCCTGGTGACCATAAGACCAGACCATGTGACTTTCTTCATTTCAATGGAATGTCAGAAGAAATGACAGCTATCCCCTTTCTGTGGATATTGTAGAAGCCATTGAGTGATCTCACTAGTGCACTTTTCCCTATAATACCAAAACCACATGCCTACGAGTATCCAAATCTCCATTCTAGATCTCAGAAGAAATGACATGAGGCACAGACATAGGAGACAAAGCTAACTTGCTGTGTGGGCAAAAAATACCTTTGTACTTGCAAGTCACTAAGATTTGCTTACAAATCTTGAAGGTTACTTGTTGCTTCAAGACAATCCAGTAAATGCTAACTTCTGCATATTCTTGCTCTTCCCTCAGAGGGGGCTCCTCCCTGGCTTATCCTTCCTTCCTTTCTTTCTTTCTCTCTCTCTCTCTCTCTCTCTCTCTCTCTCTCTTTCTTTCTTTCTTTCTTTCTTTTCCTCCCTTCCTCCCTCCCTCCCTCCCTTCGTCAAGCTCAACTGTCTATTATGTAGGCTTAGGAACCAGCTTCCTCAACAAGACTCCTCCCTCCCTCCCTCTCTCTCTTTCTTTTTTCCTTCCTTCCTTCTTTCCTTCCTTCCTTCCTTCCTTCCTTTCTTTTTCTAGTTTGTAATAATACTCCCAACTACAATTTTAGGCTATCCTTTTGAAAAAATCGTTCCTTTTTCTTTCTTTTTGTTTAATGTATTTAATATACTGATAAGTTCAACCAATGGTTCTATTCTGTCAGTTCCAATGGTAAAACAGTAGCCAAGAAACTAACACATTTTTTTTTACACAAAGATGATGAGTCTTTCTCCCGTTTATCCCTTTCCCTCCTTTCAGCACTCAATTATGGATAGCATAGTGTGTGTGCCCGATGATGAGACAGAAATCAACCAAATTCACACAACACACAATCGCAAACATGTAAAGAGATATGGAGGAAAGACACAGGTGTGCCACACATGAATATAACAGTGAGAAACACACTCACCTGCCCACACCCAAAGAATGGACTAAAAACCACTAGGTACAGAGAAAGTGAGGCTTTTTACTGATGGTCTTGCAAGCTCTGCTGTCTGGGTGTGCAGAGCAGTGACAGCATTTTATCCCCTAGTGTACAAGGTCCCTCTTCGGTTCCTCATTGGCTGGGTACCATGGGGTGCACAATCTTCCTGTATAGTCGTCTAGGTTTTACTGTCTCCTGTTAGATTATTTAAAGAAATATACTTTTACTTGTCTCCACCTCACTTTGTTCTCCTGTGGCTGGAAGACCTTCTTGCTGTGAATGCATCTTAGCATATGTGGGTTTATCTCTACTGGTCAAGCCAGTCCTTTTCCCCTCACCTCCTGTTTGTCAAGGGACTGTGAATTTGTCACACTCCAGTGTTGACTATTTATAATTTTCCACTCTGCTCTCCCCTCTAGCTGCTTTTCTTACATCCCAAGTAATTTTATATTTAAGGCCAAATACTGTATACTAAAAATGGATCACTGGACTTTCTATTTCTCATAAAGTCAAGAACAGCTTCCCACGAGAAAAGTGAAGCAGGAGGAATCACAATACCAAACCTTAAATTATACAACAGAGCTATAGTAACAAAAACAGCATGGTATTGGCACCAAAACAGATATGAAGACAAATGGTGCAGAACATAAGACACAGAGACAAATCCACATAAATACAGTTATTTCATACTAGACAAAGGCACCGTAAACATACATTGGAGAAAAAAATAGCTCCCACAAATGGTGCTGGGAAAACTGGAAGTCCATATGTAACAAAATAAAATTAGACTCCCATCTCTCACCCTGAACAAAACTCAACTCGAAGTAAATTAGGGACTCAGGCATTAGACCAGAGACCCTGCACCTACTAGAAGAAAAAGTAGATCCAACTCTCTATCATGTTGGCTTAGGAACCAGCTTCCTCAACAAGACTCCTGAAGTAAAATCAAGAATCAATAAATGGGATGGTATCAAACTAAAAAGCTTCTTCACAGCAACGGAAACAATCAAGAACAAGAGAGCCTACAGAATGGGAGAAAAATCTTTGCCACCTGCACCCCAGAGCATTAATCTCCAGGATATATAAAGAACCCAAAAACCTTAGCACCAAAACAAAACAAAGAAACAGCAACAACAACAACAACAACAACAAAAAAGAACCTAATCAATAGAAGACACTTCATAGAAGAAGAAATATGACTGGTCAACAAATATATGAAAAAAATGTTCAATATCACTAGCAATTAGAGAAATTTAAATTAAAACTGAGATTTCATCTTGCTTCAGTCAAAATGGCAATTATCAAGAATACAGGTAATAAAATAAATGTGGGTGAGGATGTGGGGAAAGGTACACTCATACATTGCTGGTGGGACTGCAAATTGGTGCAACCACTCTGAAAAACAGCATGGAGATTACTTAGAAAACTTGGAATGGAATCCCCATTTGACCCAGCTATCACACGCCTCAGCATATACCCAAAGGCTTAAAATCAGCATACTACAGTGACGCAGCCATATCAATGTTTATAGCAATTCAATTCACAATAGCTAGACTATGGAACCAACCTAGGTGCTTTTCAACAGATAAATGAATGAAGAAAAATGTGGTATATAAACATAAGGGAATATTATTCAGCCTTAAATAAAAATGAAATTATGACATTTTCTGGTAAATGGATGGAAAAATATTTTTTATTAATTTCACTTATTATGCTAAGTGAGATAAGCCAATCCCCCAAAACCAAAGGCCAAATGTTCTCTCTGATAGGCGAATGCTGACTCTTAATAGGTGGAGGTGGGGAGGTGGGAAGGTTCACCGGATTAGACAGGGCAAGGTGGAGGCAAGGGAAAGAGGATGGGAATGAGAAAGACAGGAGAGTGGATTGGACAAAACTTTCCTATGTTCATATATGAATACACAACCAGTGTAACTCCACATCATGTACAACCAGAAGAATGAGAAGATATACTCCATGTATATATGATATGTCAAAATACATTCTACTGTCTTTTATAACTAATTAGAACCAAAAAAATATTTTTTTAAATGGCTTCCCAGAACTCACTCCTGAGCTACAATCTTATGGGTAAGTAGTGATTATGTAGAAAGAGCAGCAAAAATATTCTAGGAAAGAAAGCACCATAAAAATGCTATGTGGACTGAAAAACAAATGTGACAAGTAGGAGATATTAAAGTAAAGCCACTATCAGAACCAAATAATAAGAGTGAGCCAGGCACAACTCTGCCTACTCTCAGGACCTGTGGGATATATGGAGGAATGGATTTTATCCCTTCATCTCTACTAAATTAATGCAGAAATGGAAGTGATCTAATCGTGATTGTTTAAGAAAAGGGAAAGATGATCCACCCCAAAATAGAGATAATGGATTAGAAAGGAAGTACAATGACGGCATATAGACGGGTTTTGGAAATCACTTTAAGTTCATGCAAGAAAGCTTGTTCTAGATTGCTGGTGGGATTGTGATGTAGACCAATTAAAAATAATTTCAGCCTGTGGATAGCATGTTCGTAAGTTTAATATGAAGTTCGGAGTAGAGAGAGGAAACAAGAAAACACATGTCTGCACCAAGAAAAATTAGTGTCAGTTTCAGGGGAAATGGAGGGTTGTCCTAAACTTTAGCAGACATTTTTTAGTTTAAAGTATCTTTAGTAGAAAAGGATAAGCCCAATGGAGGAGAGAGGAGAGTGTGTTAAAGTTCTTGTAAGATCATTTTTCATTCTTTTGGCTTCTTCTAAAGGGATTCATAGTGATTAAAACACAGAATTTAGAATAGAAACAAATAAAATTAAAGAAAATGAGGAATAAAACACTGCCTATGACCCTAAGGACACAAACAGGAGAGGTTTAGGGTATTTTACTTATTGAGTATCCTGTTTAAAAAAAAAATTACTTGCAGAATTACCTGACATTGATTTCCTTTGTTATGTTGTCCAAATCAAGTAAAAGTCTACTCCTTTCTTCTGCTGCTCGAGAATGTGCTATTGAAATCTCTGAAAAGTCTTTTTTCAAGTTAGAAAGCTCAATATTCCATGTACTTTTCTTTAAAAAAAAAGAGAATCATTTATACATGTTTAATAATCAAAAAAGGAAAATATATATGTAATAAAAATCTTAATTACAAGAGCCAATATTTGAGAATAGAGTGTGGAGCTCTGCTAGGAAGCAGGGAAAGGTCAACTTACTGAGGCATAAAACTTATTGAGTACTTCCAAATACTGCTGTTGATATCCATTTTGCTTCAAACACTGGTCCTCATAAAGTTGTTTCATATCTGCAAGCTAAAAAAAATGCACAGAAAATAAATTAGTTGTGGATACTCCCCTATTTTTATGTAGTGAGAAATAGATTATACTTAACTTATATAACTTCCAAAACTCAATTGATATTGAATAAAATAATATGAAATAACACTAATAGACTGCTTCGATTTGAAAATGGAATTTGAAAATGGATAGGAGATTCTGCTAAAAATATAACAAACCAAGTCTAAAGCCTGATTTTCAAGTGTACAATTAATCATGATAATATAGACTATGTTTGGGCTATATAAAAATTTAAAAATATCAGAAAATTTTGAACCATAATTCACAATATCAGCACATTAAAGGAGAAAATAGCATGATCATTAATACTTTGCAAAATAACCATTTGATAAATTCACTATCTAATTTTCATAATTTTTAAACTAGTAAAAGAAAAAATACTCAAATATAAAGAATCAACAAATATCCAAATAAATTATAAAATGCTGAATGCATGCTTATTAAACTCAAGAATAAAACCACAGTATCTTTTATGACCACCATAATTAATCACATTTTGTGAAAGACTAATCACAATTAGATAATGAAATCAAATATTGCTTTTAAAATAATAAATGAATAGATAATATATCTTTCAACTTCAGATATTAGGACTAGATTCCTAGGGAAACAGAACATTCTATGTAAAACTATGGTAAATGATATTTTTAAAATTACTGGATACAAAGATGAGGAAATTAATAGCTTTTATTTATAAGAGTAATAATCTTTTCAAAATATACTAACAATAGAAGTTTTGTTAAAAATATAAAATATTTGGGAATAATTTTTAAAACAAAAGAAATCGCCCATATAAAGACAATAAAACCTCTTATAAAAAGACTTCATCAAGATCCAAAGAAAAGAATGGTGTGTAGTGGAATATTTTAATAGAATATAATGTCAATTCTCTCAAAATTAATATAAAAATATAATAGATAAAGTATTCTCTTATCAATTGCATAAAATGAAGTTTTTATGGAAGAAAAAGGGATACGAATGACTAGTTATGAGGTATCTGAAGATGAAATTAAACTTGGAAACTTGCTACCAGATATTAACATGTCCTATAATACCACTATATTGCAATAGTTTTTATTTTTGTCTTTTTAATAAATAAGGATCCTATGAAACACTAGGGGCCAGAATATCTGAATTAACATTTTTAAAGGTAGTGTCTGAGTTCAGTGGGAGAGAATTTATTTAATTAATGTGGCTATAATAACATGGAATCTGTTTTAAAAAAATACAGAATGCTCTCTGCCTCACATCTACTTCACATGATAACAAAAACAAATTTCAAATGGGTAAATAAGGCAAACACAAAACAATACAAATTATTAGAGGAATAAATCTGAGTTTTCTTGTGTAATCTTTGGCTAACAGAGAGTCACCTTGCCAATAAAATAAGAGATCTGTTGATATATTTGATGACATATTTTATAAAAGTTGTGTCGTAAAAGACACCATAAACAACATGTGAAGGAAAAATAAGACCATGATAAATGTGAAATATAAGGCCGACATCCTTAGAATTAGTCCTTTTAAAGGACATCAGTGAAAACAGTAGAGTGAAAAATAGGAAACTCACTCTTCTCGCTCATTCATAAATGTAATAAGACAACTGGCCAAAAAAAAAAAAAGTCAAAATTAGCCCTCTCAGAATTTTGGACATTAGCCAAAGGCTCTTATTCAACAAAAATGACCCAATCTTAGCAAGAAGAGTGAGTCTTGTGGTGTTTTAATTTCTTCTCATCCTTTTCTCATCTCTAGAGAAGCCTTGAAAAATTAACAGCCACATTTATGGTGAAAACTAGAACTTGGAAGTCACTAGAGGAGTAAAAACAGTCAGAGCGCTTTCAAAGCACTGTTCTCAAAGAACTCTCCTTAGGTGACCTGTCTGTTGTGTTTATTTTTGCTTTTATTTATGTTTTGTAGGACTCCATTTGCAGAGCTCACCCTATGCAAAAATGTCTTTTCCAAGAAAATGTTTTCCCAGGGCAGAATTGTCAAAATATTTAAGACAATTAATTGACTCTGTGGCCACTTGAGACAATGGAAAACAGTCGAACAATAGAGTCATCTCGGAAGTTCAAATAAAAGCTGGGGGATTCTGTCCATAGTAGCTTTGTAAAGCTCCAACACATTCTTGAGAATCTAGAAGGCTGCAGAACCTAGGATGTGTCAAAACCAGAACCATTCATACACCTGTGAAAACTGAGTGGATTAGATCCCTCAAAAGTAGGAAGTGAAAACTAAGTTGACAGCTGCCTGGTTGAGTATTGAAGCTGTCTAAAACACACAGAGCCTCCTAGCAAAGACAGGGAGACTTCTTGTCTCCAGAATTTTGAGAATCATTGTCAATCATTAACCAATCACTAATCCACAAAGAGACTTTGGTGGTTACAGAAAACAGACTTTACAGAATTCTCCTAGAAAGGTCTCTAAACAAACAATTTACAGAATTCTCCTAGAAAGGTCTCTAAACAAACAAATGGCAACGTTGGTAAACACCAACAGGAGCAAACTCTGAGAAAGAATGAGAATCAGATGCCTAGTGTCACCACATTATGTTATTTAAAGTGTCCAGTTTCCAACAACAAAAAATATATGAGACATGCAAATAAGAAAGTAGGGACCATAGAGAAGAAAAAAGCATTTAGTAGAAGCTGTCCCAGATGAATCTTAGACATTGCTATTTTAAATATCTTTAGAGCTAAAGGAAAATGCTTTAAGAACTAAAGGAAAGCATTAAAATGGTGTTTCAACAAATAGAAAATAAGTTGAAATTATAAAAAGAGTCAAATAGAATTTCTATAATGGAACAACTACAGTAACGAGAGTAAAATTTCTATAGAGCTTAACAGCATGTGTGAGCAGGCAGAAGAAACAATGAACAAAACTTGAAGATGAGTCAAGTAAGATTATCTCAGTTGAGAGAAGAAAGATAAAGGAAAGAATGACATGTAGAAAGGGTGGGAAAACAATTGGGGTGCATTTTTTTCCATTTTCTTCCTTCTTCTCTCCCACATTTTGACAATCTTATCACAAGGCAGGTGCACCCGAAAAGCCAGAATATTGGCGGCATGATATTTCCAAGAATAAACTAAATAACTACTTCTTTGTATCTTTCACAAACAAAAAGTACCTTGAAAAACACCACACTTATGACAGAAGGGAAACATCAGATCTTAGCCTATTCCAGCAACTTGAGAAAAAGCTGGTCCCTTCCTCTGTTCAGGAACAGAGTGGTCCTGCTCTGGCTCAATGTGTCTCCCTGGACCGAAAACTCTCCTTTATTGCCTGTGTAGGCTCCCAAAACTTGACTCCATCTCATTTCTTTCATTTCACACAGAAGATATTATCTCCAGTAACGTTTATATCTATATAAAGACATGTGACTGATTCAATCATGTTTTTCACTAGTATCTTTACACTTAAAATCCTCTTTTATCCTTTGTGCATGGTTGGGTCTATAGAAGGGTGAAAATTAGGAATAGACCCAATACCCATTTATAATGTGCTTTCTAGCTTCAGAGGTGGCAGCTATGACGCATACAATTATACATGTTTCAGGTATCAAACAACTGTCAATCTCTAGAAGAGGGTTTCCAATGTGTTTTCCAATGGAAAGAATAAAAAATTAACCATGAAAACTCCAGTGCCTGAGGGTCAAAAGTAATGATATGTACCACCACGCCTCTGATAAATGTTTGTGGAAGGCTCACTAAATGAAGGTATGAGCACACCTTAACCACTGCATGTGTAATTCTCGCAATCTGCAACTTTGGGAAAAGTGCTATTAGTTTAGCCCTTCCCTCAGCCATAAAATCCACAGAATCACTGATATTATGTGCTAATTCCTTTCCTAATATAAATAATAATACACACACAACTTTGAAAACATTAATCATTGGAATAGCTAACATTATATGGTAAGTTATGAATATAGTAATCTTTGCAATTAAAAAAATTGAAGAAATCTGAATGGCTACTAAAAAGGAAAATATTCACTCTGAGTCAGAAAAATGAAAATTAATATAGTATTTGTTAACTCAAATACTACCAGCACTGAGAAAAAAAAATGAAGAAATCAGCATTATTTCTAATACACACACACACACACACACATCACACAAATATTTTTAAAAATATTTCAGTCTTCTCTATTTTGAAAACTATAGAAAGTTCTAACCCATCAGTCCAACTTTTAAGAATCTATCCCATAGAAAGAAAAAAATCAGAACATGACAACATTCATCTTCCTTCTAATGTGCATTCCTTTTCATTGAAACCTGAGAAAAAGAATGGGAAAAAGGTAGGAATTCAGGAAGAAAGAAAGGAGGTGCAGTTTCCAGTCCAATTTGATGAAAGGGTTTAGGATACAAACTGTTTTTAACCAATAACAGGCATACTCGTCTGCATTATGGAAAGTAGGACTGAGGTACAGGGCATCTTCCTGACTTGGCGTTGCTTTTGTTTTCGTGTATTTAGTTTGCTTTCTTCCTATTGGAAGGTAAGGTCATGGAACCTGAATATTTTGCAACTGAGTTTTGGTGTCCATCTACCAGCTGTTGAGTGTTGACGCAATGTGGCAACAGGGGTAATGGTCAAGTCTTCACAACCCAGCTTCCTGATGTTTGGAGCAGAGATGGACTTAACACAGGCAGTCTTGAGCTCTTAGCTCAAAAGACCACCTCAGAAGCCATTGCTTACATGTTTGCCAATTTGAGAAACATTCCTGGAAGTCTAGATGAGAGCTCTCTTGCAGCTTTGCAAACTTGTTGAAATCTCTAAATCCCCTTCAGCCTTTAACAGAGTCATGAGATGGGAGGGAAAGGGAGAGAAAAGGGAAATTGCATGGAAATGAAGGGAGACCCTCATTGCTATACAAAATTACATATAAGAGGTTGTGAGGGGAATGGGAAAATAAACAAGGAGAGTAATGAATTACAATAGATGGGGTAGAGAGAGAA